AAGCTCCCCAATATCAAAGACCACCCATGACCACCCCAAGGCACGAACCCGAGATACATTTAGGGCTTTTGGTATTAGGCTCACTAGAAGGTTTACAAAGCTGTTGAACAAGGAAACTCAAAAAAGGGGTTTGATGCAAGCTTGAAAAAATGCAAAATATCTTCAATGATGTTTAAAAATTAAGTTGGAGCTTCCTTGATGGTGTTATTTTCTTTTTTTCTTTTTCCTTTCTTATCAAAAAAGAATTTCTTTGTTTTTTTAAACAAAATACAAACTTTCATTGATGTATAGAAAGAAACAAAATTGTTCAAAGATGTAGATTCCCAAAGATGTGATAGATGAATAAAAAGATAACAAATACAAATACAAAGAATAAAAAGCTTCCTTGATGTTGTTGTTAGCACTAATGATAGAGGAATTTTACCTTATAGAAGAAAGAAATTCCTTGATGACGCAAATTAATGTATTAAGTATACTATTTAAATCATACCAAGAGGCTATATAAACAAAAAAATCGTTTAGATGACATCAGACCTCCCAAAGAACAGAGAAATAAAGTTAGACAAGCTCCCAAAACAATATCTTTGTAAAATTCTATATACAGCATATAAAAAGCAATGCAATGTGTAGGCGAAAGACCAGGGGTGATCGACAGAACAAGCTTATCAAAGAAGTATTTACTTTTCCAGGGAGTATGATTGTAGGAAGGAAATCAATGGAATCCAAGAGACGCGATGTGGATGACTATCGAATATGGAAAAGAAACGGGTGAACGAGTTCATATATTGTGGACGTATTAGAATGTAAGACGGAAACTTGGTCGACCTGACCCAACTATAAATCCTCGCTCAGCTCAATGAATTAGCTCGGTTATTGTAAGCGTAATTCATTAAAAAAGGTCATTAAGTCAACAGTAGACAACTATCACTCGCGGTATGGTACACAGGTACAGTTATCGTAACTCGTAATATAAAATAACAATTGCAAGTATATGTGAAAAAACATTTGATCACAAACCCAAGCGCTCTGGAGAAGGGGGTGGAGGGTACTCTTCTCTCTCGAGGCTTCCGTCGTTTGAAAGATGGGGCTACTTCCACTTGCTCACTCTGTGCTTCTCCTACTCGTGATCCATTTATTGCTGTAGAATCGGCATTGTTGGGGAGGTCCCCGGATTCGGTTTCGATTATCAGGTTATTCTTTTTGTCTATATTTTCGGAAAGAGCAGAAAAATCCGAAATGCATGTCTGATTTTGGCCAAACCCTAGATCAGAGATTGCCGGATCATTAACATCATTCGCTTGAATTGGAGGAGAAAAATAAGCAACAGAATCGCCCTTGGGGCGATATGCACTAGAAATTTGGCGAACTTTGCCTCTGGTGAGACCGGAAAGGTCAGTGACAGAGACAATGACTTTCTTGGCAGGTGCAGAAATAAGGCTTTCGAAATTCCCAATTCTGGCAATTTCCAATACTTGAGAACGTTTCAGCAGTTCTCTTGCGATTAAAGAAAACCCGTTGAAAAGCMTGCTGGCCTCCCTAGATGTATTCATTGGCCTTCTTTGTATTTTCTAGCATGGATCTTGAGGATCTTTGTATCTGGGGCAGATAGATAGAACTCTAGGAAACGAGAACAGTAACGACTACGCGAGCCCTTCGACGATAAGTTGGAAACTTTTTTTTAGCTTTCTTTAGAGGTCACAACTCACAAAGTCACAACCAACTTTTGCATAATGAAAATTTTCATTTTAGATTACAGAATTTCTTTTTATCATATTACCATTTTTTTTAGTTTTAACAATCCATATCTATATAATACGTATTTTTTATGAAATATAGTATAATAGATAGAGGAGGAATAATAAAAGTTTTAGTATTGGATTAAAAGGTGGTAAAAATTAGTATTCTTTCGGAAAAGGGCTATTTAGCCCAAAATCCCAAGGTAATTTGTTTGGAAAAAGAAAATCACCCCGTCTAACTTCGGACTGTGGCCGAGTCAGGATTTTGACGACTGACGAACCTAATCTGCTCACTCTAATACTACGACCATGCTCTCCTTTCTCAATTCATCAGAACCACCGTCCTTTTCTTCTCTCTCCTGCTCCCTTTCCCGTTTAACTTCGATATTCCCGGCCATCGCCCCAGCCGCCGTTTCCTCAGTAGTTAATTTCAAAGTCGATCCTTTTCTTTCACGTGTCACCATCCCCAGCCCCAGCACCAGCACCAGCAACACAAAATCAAGTAAGTTTTCCTCAGATAGTGCAGTTAACACTGCTTCTCCTGCCAAACACTTTCGGCCCAGGTTCAAAAAATATTCGAATTTGGATCCCACGTTCTCAGATAGGGACGACAATGGGAATGATGAGGATTACTCTGACGCGTCAGACCCAGAAACGATATTTGAGAACGGTGTAAATATCAAAATCGAGAAGCTGGGCAACAACTCTCGTAGAATTTACTCGAGAATTGGTATTGACGCCCCCCTCCAGGCCGTGTGGAACATCTTGACCGATTATGAGAGACTGGCAGATTTCATACCTGGACTTGCTCTCAGCCAAATAGTTTATAAGACTGACAACCATGCCCGACTTTTTCAGGTACTTTTATTCTCTTCGCCGCCCCTTCCCTTTTCCATCATTAATTATGCAGGAACTTGAACTCATTTAATGACTTGTGGAGCGCGCTCCTTTTCTCTTTCTGTTTCTATTGATTCCATCCCTAGGGTTAAGAATATGTATAAACCATCATGGATGACAGTGGTCAATAAAGGACAATATAAATAGTAAATGGCTTAGAGGGAACGAGTTGGTGGCCACCTACCTAGTAATTAATATCCTACGAGTTACCTTGTCAACCAAATGTAGTAGGGTGAAACGGTTGACCCGTGATTAGTGAAGGTGCGCGCAAACTGGTACGGACACACGGATACAAAAAAAAAAAGGGTTAAGAATATGTATACGAGATTCAATATATCACTGTATCACAATCCAACTTAAGTTTTTGATTTTGATATAACTTGATATGTAATTATAACTACAGATCATGGATTAAAAAATCTCCAGAATCAGCTTATTTGTTTTTGTACTCCAACTTAAGTTTTTGAATTTGATATAATTTAATATGTTATTATAACAACAGATCATGGTTGCTAATGAATTTTCTATGTACTCCAATAGTGTTCTCCTGAATTGAAAGCTGCTTATTCATGCTATATTTATGCTATTTGGACTGGAGTGAGATGTATTATGAAATGTTATGGAACTTAAAATCACATCTTCATAGATAGTGTACAGTGTTACTCTTCTTCATGTATGACATGCTTTGACATTCTTTCAATAGGTTGGACAGCAAAACTTGGCATTTGGTTTGAAATTTAATGCTAAAGGAACCATTGATTGTTATGAGAAAGATCTTGAAAGACTTCCTTTCGGTAAAAAGCGAGTTATCAAATTCAAGATGATCGAAGGAGACTTTGAACTCTTTGAGGGAGAATGGTCAATTGAGCAGGTAATTATCCTTTACATAGATCAACATTTTTCTATGAGAAGTAATTACTTTTCGTTTATGAATTACAAGAAATTATATTAGTAGGTTCCTACGTTCTCTTACCCTTTTCTTTATAATCTGTACAACAAACCATTACTTTTATAACTTATTAAAAAGAAAGCTCGTAGCTTAGTGGCACACATGCACTCTCGTCCTTTCATGCTAGATTGAACTTCTAGCCACGGTGTTTTTTCATTTATTTCTTCTAGTTTCAATAATCAAATTCTTATTTTATTTATTTTTTATTTTTTTAGACAAGAAACAAAATTTTCACTGATGTATGAAAAGAAACAAACTCTTAAGAGAGTGAAGAAAAGAGAAAAGACATAACAGATCTCAATTTTTTATCTAAAAAACCTCCTGCAATATAATAGATCTTAAACATTCAATTTCTAAATATTTGATGTTTTAAAACTCAGTCTAAATATTTGACGTTTTAACTTTTTTTTTTAGTTGCAATCCAGGTTGGTTACATTATGTTTTTGTTAAGATAGTAACTGCCAGCTCTGTGAAAGCAGTTTTTTAGAGTAGTTACTCATGGCAGTTGTCAACTACTGCAGTTAGAAGAAGAAAATGAGGAACTTGAAAGTGAGGCTGGTTATTCTTATGAAATTGTATGGGTGATTAATAATGCTGTATTGATATTTCCTGCAATATATTGACTGTATTAATTTTTTTTATAAGAAACAACAACCTTCATTTAAAAGAGGTAACAAAGGAGCAACAACCTAAGGGTGGGGCCGAGAAGGCCCCCCCCCCCAAAAACTAATACATTACAGCTTTCCAATCACGAGTGAGTAAGGCTATATTGTAATTACAAAAGAATCTTCTATTAGCAAGGCACCAAGAGGCCGTTGTAATTTGTACATTTTCACAAAAATTAACAAAAGGGATGGACTTGTGGTTGAAAACTCTTTGATTCCTTTCCTTCCAAATACTCCATATTAGCGCTCGACTAGCACAACTCCATAGAAATTTTACTCGACCTTTCAAAGAACCACCTTGGATAATTTCTAGAAGCCAATCATCTATTAAACGACACAAACAACCAACTAAGCCACATTCCATCATCAAAAAGGACCAACCTTTAGCTGCAAAGGAGCAATGAAGAAAAAGATGGACAATTGATTCCCCATCCCTAAGACAGAGAGAGCACCCCGAAGGAGAAATCATCCAATTCTGTAATTTTTTCTGAAGCTTATCTTGAGTGTTGATACTCCTACATGCCACACTCCATAAGAAGATTTTCACCTTTTTTGGACAGTTAAACTTCCAAATCTTAGTTATAAATGGAGCTTTGAGCTTTGGGGTTACTTCGGACAGTTTAAGAAAAGTGGATTTGGTACTACCGTACTAGATATTTTGTCCCAAAGAAAGTAGGAGTGTATTGCAATGCTTATGTTCTTATCACAACAGCTGGTTGATATCCAAATTCCGTTTCCTTAGAAAAATACAACTGGACAGGATGGAATCCTAATCCTAATTCCAGCCGCGGGCCGCCATCACCTTCGCCATCTGCCGTCTGCCATCGCTGCCGCCTGCCATCACCTTCGTCATCCGTTGTTGCCATTTTCAGCTGCTACTGCCTGGTGTAAGCTCTTTGTTTTTCCCAGCTAAGTTGATCTTTGTGCCACTATCTGTTCGCCGTTAGATTCTCTTCGCACTATCGCCCAATTTCCATTCTTTCTTCGTATGTATTCCTTCATCAGCCTTCCTCCGACGCAATCGCCCTTTGWMGTCTGGTCTGATCTCTGACGCCTTTGCTCTCCGACGCCACTACCTAGTTCAGTCGTAGTTGTTCGCCATTGTCATCTATGGTTCGCGGGTACAAGTTTTCTCATTCAAGATTGGAGACGAATTTGAGAAGTTGCAGTGTTGAAAGCAACTTCTATTGGATTTGGCGTTTTGCGTGACAATGATTGTTTTTTCATTAAATATTCTATGAAGAATGTTCAGATTCCTCTTCAAGTTTTCCAACGTCAGTGGTTTGAGAAGGCTTTAGTGGAGCTCTTATGCAATTCAGGGATGGGAACAAAACTTGTTGACTCCAGAAGAAGAGATTCATGCACGGTTTGTTTTTGGTTTGTGTTGTTTGGCCCACATCGGGTGGAAGAAAATACGTATTTTGCCGGCTGGGATTAGTAAAAAAGGCTGAGAGCTTTTTGGGACATGCTAAATGATTACTTGGTCAACTTAAATGCAACGCTATTGAAGGAGGTCTCTAATTTTTCATACGCAAAGAGGGTTAGGAACGGAGAGGGCTAGGAAAAGGGACAGCATGATGCCAAACCCTACTGTAGAGGATGAAACAATTGTGGGGAAATGCTTTTTGGTCAAGCAACGAGAATCTGGAAAAGAGAGAAAATCTTATTGGATAAAAAAGGAATATGAAGTGGTGGAAACAGATTGGGATAATGTCATGGTTATCTCAAGATTTTGTGCATTGGATTGTTGGAAGGAAATTGTTGCATTCCTCAAAAGTGTCTTCTTGACAGATAAGACTTTACTTAGATTCAAGAATGGAAGGTTATTGGACTCAGTGTTTTYGAGGCGCACCCAGACGAGAGGCGAGGCAATTTGGCCTAGGTGCGACTTGAAAGGTACCAAGGCGAGCGCCTTCAATCGGGCGCTCGCCTTGACATACCTCCTAGCGCCTAGGCGCGTCTTCGCTTTATGGTGAGGTGAGCGCCTCGTTGAACTTAAGGAGAACCCACTTCAAAATGAAAAAAATAAAATAACGAAAGGAGAAGGAGAGTAAGAAAAAGAAGAAGAGAGAGAGGAGAAAAGTAGGAGATGAGGAGTGAGAGATGATAGGTAATGTTGAAGCGTTGAAGAAAGAAGAGAAAAAGAAGAAACATAGTTGAAGAAGAAAACCTTTTTTTTYCTTTTCGGTGCAAGAAGATGAAACGTTTGAAGGGCCTCATTTCCTAGAAGCAATAAAGAGGCTTCATTTTTCTAGAAACAAATGATCTGCATGTTGTCATATGGCAGTTTCGTTTTCCCATAATACAGCTGTTTCCATTTAATTATTTGGCTTTTACTGTTTATTTTAAATACAATTGAACTATTTTTTTATTATTTATTTTAAATACAATTTATCTCTACTTTTTCTTCTTTATGCCTACTTTTCTGAATTATTTATGTTCATTTTTATTTGAATATTATTTTCTTTTCAAAATTTTCACATTTTTTAAAATTGAATATTGATTTATTTTCCTCATAAAGATTATTTATTTATTATTTTATTGGGTGCGCCTTGCTTCACTCAGGCCTCGTCTTTTTATCGCCTCTCGTCTTAAGGCAATCAAAAGGCTTGTCGCCTTGAGGTGCGCCTTGCGCCTTGAAAACACTGATTGGACTTTGATTGGCTCAACGTCAAATGGTGCAAGATAGTTAGATTTCACTTGAAAATAGAAAAATGGAATCTTGAATAACATGCCAGGAACCAAGTTATGGTTTGTTTTGGAGGATGAGTGCAATTATGTGACTTACCTTTAGAGCTATGGAATATGCAATGCTTTCAGGCCATTGGAACTCATCTCGGTGGTTCGAAGAAAGTCTCTTCAAAAACACTAAATTTGTGACTGTTCAGCAACTTTGGTTCAAATTGAGAAGAATCTTTGTGGTTTTATTCCGGTTTTTATTGAGATAACTATGAAATATGTTTGTGGTACAAGCAGTTGCCATAAATGAAGCTACTAGCTCGTCATTCTTCTCCGTACCGCTCTCCAAGACTTCTTTGATTGCGGATTCTCCTAACCGTTGGACATTCAAAGATTGCAAGAAGTTATGGTAGATGAAGAATCTCAGTTTGGCAAAGAGTTTCTTTACAAGGATAAAAAGGTGGGCAGTCAAGACTCATTTAATCCTGTTAGAAGAAGCTAATGCATTGGTTGAGAATTTCGATAGTTTGGCAAAGCAACTTGCAGATAACCCTTCATCTACTCAGAACACTTCAGATGCCTCATATTTAGAAAAGGATATGACAGAACAATTGAGTACTCCTCYGGTCAGAAAAGTTGTGGACATTAATAAGGATATAGACATTATTGGTTCTACTAGTTTTCAAGAAATAAATGCAAAAGATGTAATGAATTGAAAGTAAAAGAGCATCCCATTTTCACCCGGTATGAATAATACCAAAAGACCATTCAGCCCTTTCCTCTTTACTTCTCTTGAAGGAAGCCTAATACTCTTTTTGCAAAGAGGCTCGGGAGCCTAATACTCTTTTTGTAAAGGAGCTCGCAAAGCCTTTGATTGTTGAAGGTGTACAAGTGAACTTGAATATGACTTTTAATGAGGAAAGAGAAGTAGTTAGTACAGACAAGCTAAATGTTCTTTTCTTTGGTTCAATACATTCCACTAGTGAGGGTTTGACTCATAGGATATCCTCCACCTATTCCTCGGATAGTGACTTTGAAGACGATGATGGAGCAGTTAGTATTTGTAGTGGACTCTTCATCAAAGTCAAAGTTAGACCTCCCTATTAAGGATATTTCTGAGCAATCCTTCGAGAAAGATTTTTAGATCCTTTTTAATGAGCAAAAAGAAGACGAGAAGTTATATTTTCCAAATTAAACAATCATTTCATTCCTTTTTTTTATTTTAAGAAATTGGGATTATTCTGGTCCCATTTGATAGTGATCTATGATTTTTAAGAGGTCGATTGGGTCCTCTAAGTTTTAATTTGTCTTGAAAAGTTGAAAGGTTCACAATTATTYCTTTTGGAGTTTTTTGTAGCATTGAACTTTCAGGTATTCACTTATAATTGTTGGTTTAATGCTTTGGCGGATGATTATTTGTGAAAAGTTAAATCATTGTAATTTATTCTAATAATAAATCGGTTAAAATACTATTTTGGTCCTTGTAATTTCATCTTTGGTTTACTTTGGTTCTTGTACTTTCAAAATGTTCATTTTAGTCTATGTAATTTCAACTTTGGTTCATTTTAGTTTATGAACTTTTAAAATATTTGTTTTGGTTCATGTACTTTTAAAAAATGACTATTTTAGTCCCTATTTGTAAAATTTTAACACAAATTCTACACATAATAAAAAYCTTTTAATATAAAGTCATAGTTACATTTCAAAAAATATATTGAGAATAATGTCGTGTTGAATTTGTGATAGAAAAAATGAGATTAAAAATAAAATTAAGGGACCAAAATGGTCAAAGTACCAGGACAAGAACGAATTTTTTTAAAGTACAAGGGCTAAAATGAGTCCAAGTTGAAAGTACAGGGACCAAAATGAACTAAAGGTGAGAGTACAAGGACAAAAATAGTATTTTAACCTAATAAATATATGCTTTATAGTTTCAATTTTTTTTATACATGATGTATTTATATATAAAACATGGGAATCATATGACATTCATTTTCTACTGTTTTATAAACCACATGGTCTGAAATTAATTATTTTTTGACTATAGAAGAAATTGCAATCATATTAAGCTACATAGGTGTATTCAATTAGAGATGTATTTGCTCTTAGTGCTGATTTTATTCCTTAAAATAGTGGGGCACTATGACTAAGAGATCATGAGTTCAAATTCTCTGCCGCCACTTGTTGTACTAAAAAAAATATATGAATATGTACATACTGATTACAATGGATGAGTCTTGCAGGTGAGAATATGTGTGTTGGATGTATCTTGTCTTTGCCATTTATGTCATTGAATGAACTTCAGAATCTAGTGTACCAAAACACACTCATTATTTTAAATATCTGCCTAAAAATTTGTTACCCATTAGGATTAGAAATCATTGTGTTTGTTGCCTGGTGATTTGTTGATGTTATGCTTACTGTAAACTGTGATCACTGATTAGGCTGAAGAGTTGTTTCTCAGAAGCTGCTGGGACTCTCTCATTTGAACTTCAGAAAAAATTCTCATGATGTTTTTTGTCCACTTCTGAAGTTGAAACAAAGACGTGCTTGACCAAAATTATATGCTAGATGCTTTCCAATTCTAAGTCTGAACAATGTATGTGATTGGTTACGTTGATGCAGTTTGATAAAGATAGATGTCAAGATGATGATAACTTGCAAGAACAAGAAACACATACAACTCTATACTATAGTGTTGATGTAAAGCCCAAACTTCTGTTGCCCGTTCGGCTCCTTGAGGGTAGGCTTTGTGATGAGATAAAGGTGAACCTAACGTGCATTCGAGAAGAAGTACATAAAGCCAATTCAACCGCCTGCTAATAGATTTCTTCCCTCCGTTTATATAATGTAAGCATAGCCGCAATGAATTTGTAAGAGTTGATGGTGTAGCTACCTTTGCCAAATGAACTGATCCAAAAATTGACTGTTCTACAATCATATACAACAATTTTAAAGTTTCCTTTAGTCAAATTAGTTCCAGCGCAAGTTCTTGCTAAAAGCTACACTGAATTTGTTGATGTCCAGCTCAAGCACTTGGATAAAATGCTCTCTTCAATGTTATACTTGTAATTTGACTTCATATTTCTTGATTGACTGTAGCTAGCTTGCCTACTGCACAAACATTTCTTTATCAGCTCGTTGCTGCCACAACATTTAGGCCATGTTGCATGGGAATGATGAATTTGGTGGTGTTTATGGAATTGTAAAAATCAAATAAAATGAGACCTCATTTCAAACTTTGTAATTTCACTCTAAAAGGTATAATTGGTTCTTCTCATACAACTTCATTAATTTCATTTAAGCCTCATCATCGGGCCCAAAGTCTAAGTCCAGTYCAGGTTCGATCCAAGCTCGGCTCGACCCAACCTATTCATAAATGGTTGTTTTTCTAAATGGGGCAACTACAAGAATGGCTAAAATAAATAATATTGCATAAATAGTTAAATCACATTTTTTTTAAATCTTGAATAAATATTTTAGACCAATATATCTCTGTAACAAAAATTAGATATAGGGAATAAGGCAGATTTTGAAATTTATAGATTAAAAATATAAAATTCAAGGTTAAATATGAATATTTATAGGAAAATTTATGAAAACTCAAGATCCTAACCTTGTATTTGAAGAAGTTGGATTTAGTGGTAGCAACCCTTCTTTTTGACCCACATCTCCATCTCTCATCTAACTTTCATATTCACCTATAGTCTTCTATCGTTTCACTCAGGTCGTCGATCAATCATTATTTCGATCAATTGCCTCCGTCYGACACCGATCAGTTTCGTCTCATTCCGGTCAGTTTCTCTCCGTTTCGTTGAGCACTCTAGCCGTGGATGTATGACTCGTTGCCCAATTTAGGTTCACGCACCACCACCAAACATTCCATGCTCCATCGCCTTTGAGATCCACATCGACCGACAGTCCACTATTGTCCAGTTGCCTCTCCAGCTTAGTATTTTGTTTTGATTGTGGGACTTTGGACGATGTAAAATGAAGAGAAAAATGTTTAAAAGCTTGTTATTTGCCTTCCCATAATTTAGGGGGAATTTAAAAATAATTTTTTTTTTTTGCCTTCCTGTAATTTAGGAAGAATTTTAAAATAAAAAATATACGTTGGATCGACCACATGAATGTGTCGTTTAAAATCAAATTTGAGAAGTATATCTACATAAGTTCAACTACTTTATATAGTATATACACATGTTATTGGTGACCTTCTAATTTTGATATTTATCCAATTAGTATATACATGTATTGACCTCCTAATTTTGATATTTCTTCAATTAGTATATACATGTATTGACCTCTTAATTTTTTATAATGAGCTGCATTGTAATATATACATGTATTGACATTCTAATTTTGATAATTGAGTTGAATTTTGATATATACATTTTGACCTCTTAATTTTGATAATTGAGTTGCATTCTAATTTTGATAATTGAGTTGCATTATGATATATATGTATTAAAATCTAGTTTTGATAATTACTGAATGGTACTTACATGTATTGACCTTTTAATTTTAGTAATTAAGTTGTTTAGTGATATATACCTGTATTTCTAAATTTAATAATTCTTCCATTGGTATATACATTTATCGATCTTATAATTTTGATAATTGAGTTGCATAATGATATATACAATACATGTATTGCCCTTCTAAGTTTATTAATTATTCAATTGGTATATACATTTATTGACATTCGAGTTTTAATAATTGATCAAATGTTTAAAAGGAATAAATGAAGGAAAAAAAATAAATCGACGACCAAAGAATATTCAAAAACTTAATTTGATAATGATATGCGCTCACATAAGTCCATGAGATGTGAGACAGTAGAATAATTGACAAATCATTTAAATTAACTGAAATTCAAAACAAAATAATTAAAATAATTAATTTAAAATCCCTTTAATTTAGTAAAAATAATTTAAATTCAAAGGAAGATGGTTAGGTGGTTGAATACAATAAAAAACCAAAAAACCATGGAAAATAGTATTGTTGAAAATCATCATATATTGTAAACTTTTACAATGCCCTTTAGTCATTTGTGCAAAATTTAAAACTAATCACTATTTTTTTTAAAGTGGGTGCCAAAATTTAGCTATCCACTCAAATTCCCCTTTCTATCTAAATTGGGCCGGTCTTTTTGAAAAATAAAAATAAAAACATAAAATAAAAGTACAAATTCTAAAACTTAGAGAATTTAGTTTGAAAAAATATTAAATAATTAAAAAATAATTTATTATATAGGCTAATTAAAGTATAATCCAAAGGGCCAAGCTAGGTCTAACTTTAGTCCAAGTCCATTGGATTTTAGTTGTTGGASTGGTATATGCTCGCACCAAACAATGTTTGGGCTCGTAGAGCTCGGGCTTGGGCTGAGCTCGAACTTGGGCTGTGCTCGAGCTTTTGCTTTGCGCTAGATTGGGCCAAGCCAGCCCAATGATGAAGGTGAATCGTGTTATTTATTTCGTGAGTTTCACATATTTATTATAATTACTTTACAACTTTTATAATTTGCCTTTTGAAACMCATCATTTTTTTAATTAATTATTTTATACTTTTATTATTTCTTTTTCATTTATACAACTAATATTTTCTATTTCAATAAAAATTTATATAATTATTATTAGTCCATGTGATTTTATTATAAATATTATTCATTATTATTAAATATTAAAATAATAAAATTTAATGATATTTTACTATAAATATTATTCATTATTATTACTATCAATAATATAGTAATAAAACAAATTAAAATGTATTATTATTATAATTAAAAAAATGTGATTAACTAGAAAGAAGTGAGTATACGCAATTATTATATATCTAATTTCAATTTCAATTCTGAACAAATTTAATAAATATCAAAGAATCCTAATTTCGATCCAAAAGACTTCAAGTAAACATCAAAAGAATATCATTTCCATTTTGATTGATTTCATTATATTCCCATTCCCATTACGATTCCGGGTAAATAGAAGGGCCTCAAGTCAATGCCATGTCAGAAGAATAACCATAAAACACAAATAAATTCCTTAGTAACCACAATTTTTAAGTAAGCTTTATAACGATAGCTTTTCAAAAACCTCCGCATTAGTTCATGGGGTAAAAAAGAGTAAAATTACTATATAGGTAACAAGTATGAGCTTCTGGATCGAAATGATCATTTATCATTAATTTAAGAACGACAATTTCACAAATGTTAAGACTACCAATCAAAGATCAACCTTGTCTCCACATAACTTCTATTTTGTCTTGTTGGCTGAACATGGAAATCATGAATCTGTCAAATATAGGAAGGTTCGACATCTGGAAGACTATAATCACATTTTTTACAAGAAAACTCGTGATTGCAGCACACTGGCCTATTGCATACAAGCCGAAGACAGTTTTGGTATAAGGGGTATCAATCAGGCCGCGATTCGAGCGGTGCAAAATTATATTACAAGCATGTGTCTTCTAACTACTTGTCGATTCTGAGGTTATTACATAAATGACCCAATTCAGGTCGTTCCTTCATCCATGAAGTGAATTCCGTCTCCTCTGCCTTAGTACAGTAGAGGTAGGACCTGAAAGTGATGAGAAAAAAATACCGCCTGCAGATATGAAATTGGATAGTTACACAACTTTATCTGAGCCAAGGAACTACCAATGGATAGATGAAACAAATGGTGTATGGAGAAACCATATCAGCCCATGCAAGCTCAAGAAATTTAAGACTAGTCGGTAACGTTCCCATTTCCTGTTTTTCGTTTCCAATTTTATTAAAACTAATAAATATAAGCATTTGACTTATGTTTCTTGTTACTATTTTTTAGAAATATTCTCAAAATTGTATAGAAATTTTGAAAACAACAAAAATAAGTTCTTTCAGGCTTCCGTTTCTAATTTGTTCCAACGTAAATAAAGATCTTGTTTCATCATTCTTGAATCTATGAGTGTTGGGAGCCATGCAATTATATTTTTCTTTATTAAAAAAGAGGAAACAAAAATAAGAAGAATCTATAGGTGTTGGGGTCATGTAATTCTATTTTTCTTTATAAAAAAGAAGAAAAAAAGACAAGAAAGGGCTACGTTACCAAACGGCCCTCACCAACCTTAGAGCCTTAATACCCATATCCATGAGGTAAGCTTGGTGTTCATCATCATCACCAGGAGATTTTTTAAGTTCCTTGGAGTAATAGAGAATGTCATCTCGTAAATGCCCTGCCCCTGCACACCTTCAAAAGCAAATGACAAACTCAACTTTACTGTAAAAAGAAAGGAGTCACTCACTAGCAGGTTACATGAATGTATATAAAGTAGGAGTAATTTAAAGGCACAGAACAATTGAAGGTGCAATCTCTATTCGGTCCACACCCTACGCCCACAATAAAACAAGAGTGGACACCTCCATTTCCCCGTACGGACAAGCCTTGTATCTCATGCTGGAGCCATAAATAACCTTTGACATACCTTTCAATGACAATGTCAACATCTGCTTTACTCTTAGGACCGTACATGAGGACTCTTGTAAGGCTTAGGATGTCACGATAATCACCAAATTTGAATGCAGCTTCTTCCGACGCCTGAGAATGCAAACTGTCTTCACATGCATAAGATAAATCTGCATTAGTCATGGATTGTGGAATATTTGATGCAAAATCTGCCTCGACACCAAGCCTTATACATATAATTGCCATTGCATATGCCACTCCTCCAAATCCTGTGTGTGATACAAAGAGGTAGCATCCTGCAGAGCTAGAGAAAAAAATTATTTCAAGAATTTGAATTTTGTTCAATGAATTGAAAAATATTACAAGGGTGAAAAAAAGAGAGCTAGTTTCTGAAACCATAGTACATGGGGGTAATTATCTTGCTGAACTATACTTGAGTTCCTTAAGAATTAAAGCAGTCTGACACCACATGAACTATTAACCAATTATAGATCATCTACCTGAGCTTCCTTGCGAATAATGAATAAGTGCTTATAAACCATCAAGATAAAATCAAAGGAAATTAGTTATTTAGTGCATTTGATTTCTTGAGGCAATAGTGTCATCGTACAAAGGCATTTTAATACTAAGTGCC